GCATTCGGACCAACAGTGCAATGAATGTTATGATACAGGAATGGAAAAACGGACGACGAACTGGATCACGACTCTAGTTATGAGATGTATTGTGTTGTTTATTGTTGTATTAATATTGTATACCATGCTATTAGGGTTTTAAATTGTATATCTTTGTCTGATTTTTATCCTTGTTGTAAACCGCATTGAGTCGCCTGTCGGGCTGAGAAACTGCGGTATACAAGTAAAGTAAAGTAAAGTAAATAAATAAATAAATGGCCCAGTCTGGTTAAATGGAAAAGAAAAAAAAAGAAAAACTGTAGGTTCCATATATATTGAATTTTACAATGCTTGTTTGTATACAATTTTGTTGTTGTGCCATTGTTTGTACAGATATAGAGATTGTCTGGTTTGCCAACTCTAGAACACACAACATATAGTTGTCCATTAGAGAAGCAATCTGTGTCTAGATCTGAACCACAGAATTGTAAAGATTGGCTCTGAGCTTTGTGGATGGTGATTGCAAACACCAATCAAATTGGGAATTGCAAACTCTTAAATTGAAATGGGATATCCTTTGGACTCACAGAAATGTGAGGAATGAGGACATCTTCAACACCGATTACCAAGGCAGATAATCTTTGAACTGTGATATATGACAGTGTGAACTCTGTGCCCTTCCACACAGCCATATTACCCTGAATATCAAGGCAGATACACCCACAATATCTGGTTTGAACTGGGATATATGGTGCAACTAAAGGGGATGATGACAGGCCAGCACTACCACTAATTATAATAACCACACAAAAGATGGAGAACAACACTCCAACCTATACAACCTGTATAAAAATGAGTTGCAAAGGTGAAAATCCAATTTACACCATTATATAATTTATATTGGTGTTACCAAGTCGATTGCTTCAATGGGGGATTGACTACATTGGACCTGGATAACTGCATGGGCCAGCTGGAGGAGCAGCGCAATGGGGAGAAAGAGAAGCCAAAGACTATCCCTCTCTTTGAGCCCAAGGAATGCAAATATAAATAGAACCTATCCTCCTCTTCAACTGATAATGTAAGTTACCAACTTACCCCCCTCCCCCCCGGTTTTAGCTCTAATACCAACAGAAAATAGATTCTCTATACTGATGGAAGATTATCCTGAGATGCTGAAGGAAAATGGCAACACGCCAACTCCCCCAGGGACAAATAGCTATGGTAAGAAAACTAACTCTAGTTGTTTTGAGTTGCTTTCCCAGCATGTGTTTTTATCTCAAGAGTCTATGTTGCCTATTTGTGATAGAATAAGAGACATAAATGAGCAAATATTTGAAATAAATACTTTGTTACAATCCCTAATGAACCAGACTAAGTTTCGGCAGGACCTTCCTTTAGCAAATCATACAGCTAAGGTCAAACTAGTGAAACCTGTAAAGGAAGCCAACACAATTAATGCTAGAAGAGAAGTTAGAAGAGATGCCTCCTGTCAGCAGAAGTGCTCACTGCAACTTAACAAAAAAACAGCTGGTGTTTCATATAGAAGATACACGCTTAAACTGGGGTAACTGGAGCAGTAAAAATAGGATTCTGACATCTCTAAGCAGCATCCTACAGAGAGAATTAAAGCCAAAGGATATTCTGCCACCGTTCTGGCTGCCCAGTGATAGCTATTATAAAAGGGCAGTTATCAACTTCCAAGATGAACTTCTTATTCAAAAGATATTAAAAATAAGAGACCACCTTAGATGCTCCTATGGAATTATTGTGAAAAAGTCCTTCACAGAGATGCGGTGCCAACCCCTCTTGAAAAACTCTCATTGCAAAAAAGGCCAAACAGCAACAAATGGCCCTTCCGCTCAAACTGAATCCCTTCAACCTCCATTGACAACACCCCAGGAGCTCACACAGAGGATGATATCTGCCCCCGATAATCATCCAAAATCACCGATAACAAGAACCGAAGAACAGTTGAAAATAAATGTGGAGTGCAACCAAGAGCTGATGCCAGAGACGACCTCAGAATCAGCTCAATACTCTAGCAGCAATGGGAAGGAAGGCTCACTCCTATAAGGACTCGAAACAAGAGGTGCAGGCCATAGTTCACCTCACAGAATCCTCCACCCTTGAACAACGACCAAGGAAAAGAAAAAGGACTTTGGGCAAAATGATTAACGGTATTAAAGACATAAAAGCTACGGATGCTCTGCCACCCGGAAAGAGGGAAAAAAATCCTAAGAGCCAGATGAAAATCTCTCCTCATCTAAAAAATGATCAGATCAGAGTCTCCCAAGTTGAGAGCCACGAACCTGATGAATCCCCCCCCCCCCAACAAGTGGCCCCAAACAACCAGGACTCCTCAAATTTAGGGAATTCTGGGCTCAACATGACACAAAATCCACAAGAAACACCAGAGTCCCCAAACAATAATTATACTCAGTTGAGACATTTAAGCTCTAATGGTATCTCCACAAACAACATATTACCATCTACACAACAATTACAAGAGGCGGATGCAATCACAAGGAGTAGTAAGACATCCCACACATGGTCCCATAGCTCAGCAAAGGGGACCACATTCCACCCAAAAAATGGTTGTGTAATCATGGACGCTGATGACCAAATACAATCTCAGGAATGACTAGGGAGTTTCAGAGTGATATCATGGAACATAGCGGGATGGAAGAACAAATGCCCCATGTAAAAATTTGTTGAATTTCTGTCCCAATTTGGTATTATTGCACTCCAGGAAACATGGATTACAGAAGAGGAACAAATCTGCCAACTCTCGGGATTTCAAACCTGGTCCAAACCAACCATGAAACTTTCAAAGTACGGCAGACCTAGTGGTGGCATTGCCACTTTAATCAAAGGTGCATTAGGTTGGCAGGGAGAAGAAATCTCACTAAAAAGTACTACAAACTGTATTAACATCCTCACAGTCAAATTCACAAATATTTCTGCCCCTTTGGCAAAAAGGAGTCCAACCATCCTCTTCCTAAATGTTTACATACAACCTACAACATCAAAGTCAGATAAATGGGATATATGGCCAATTCTTGAAGGGGCGCTGGAGGAAATTAATACTCTGTTCCCGGCAGCACAGACCATCATCCTGGGTGATTTCAACGTGAGATTGGGCAACTCCAAACTGAAGATTGCATCAGCTAGCAACATTCCCCCAGATGCAAGCTTGTTCAACTTCGGATGGAGGTCCCGTGACTGTCAAAGAAACAAAGCTGGAGTTTCATTGGTGGCCCTACTATAAAAATTCGATCTCACAATCGGTAGAGGCTTAAATGAGAAATTTATATACCCATTCACCTTCCATTCAGCAAACGGCAGTAGTGCTATAGACTTCATTTGCGTTTCCAGGGAACTCCGGCCAGCGTTTACTCCCTTGGAAGTTATTCCCAGATTGGATAGCAATCACCAACCTGTGACAGTGAGATGCCTCCTGCAGACTGACCTTAGAAGGCCTACATTTGGCACCACTCAGGAGAGCCAGACATTGGAATTACAATACAATAAAAGACTTAGATGGAAATTTGTTAATCTAACCCTCCTA